CAGGAGCACCTAAAATATGAAAGAAAGACTGCTAGAGCTAAAAGGTGAGATATGTTGCAACACTATAATTGTTAGGGATATCAACACCCCATTATCTCCTTTAGACATATCATCTAGATAAAAATGATGCAGAGCTACAGGACCTAAATGTTACTATAAATCAAATGGGTGTGACAGACATCTATAGAACTTCCCACCATAAGACCACAAAATACACATTTTTCTTGCCCTGGCTTGGAACCTTTTCAAAGATTGACCATATGATAGGACACAAATCAAGCCTTTACAGATTCAAAGGCATAGAAACTATATCTAGCATCTTCTCTGACCATGATGGAATTAAACTTGATACTAATTTCAAGAAACATCCTCAAAAACACACAAACACATGGAAACTAAACAACCTACTTCTGAGTGACTTCTTAACCACCAAAGAAATTAAGTCTGAAATCAAAAACTTTATGGAAATTATAATAAGCACATGAGTTTCCATAATCTATGGGACATCATAAAAGCAGTCCTAAGAGGGAATTCATAGCAACTAGTGTGCATAAGAAAAAGATGGAAAGGAGGCTAGTAGACAATCTATCATGCCTCAGGGAATTGGAAAAACAACAAAAATGCCAGGTGAAATGAAATAATAAAGATTTGAGTGCAGAAATAAATGAAATAGAAAATAAACAAACTATACAGAAAATAAATGAAAGCAAAAGCTGGTTCTTTGAAAATATTAACAAAATTGGCATACCATTAGCTAGACTAATAAAGAAGAAGAAAGAAACCAGATAAATCAAATGAAACAGACAACAAGGTTGAATCATGAGGACATAGAAAACCCAAATAGACCCATAACAAGCCATAGGATTGAATCAGTAATAAATAACCTCTCAACAAGGAAAAAACCAGGTCCTCATGGCTTCACCTCTGAATTCTACAAAACTTTTGAGGAAGAATTAACCCCCATTCTACTCAAACTATTTCTAAAGATTTAAAAAGAAGGAAACCTCCCAAATTTATTTTATGAAGCCTCCATCATCCTCATTCCCAAAATAATAAAAGATATGACAAAAAAAGAAAACTACAGACCAATACCTCTGATGAATATAGATGCAAAAACTCTCAAGATACTTGCAAATGAAATGCAACAGCGTATAGAAAAAGATTATTAATCATGACCAGGTAAGCTTTATTCTAGGGATGCAAGCGTGGTTCAACATATGCAAGACCATAAATATAATAAACCATATTAACATAAAGAAAGATAAAAACTTTATGTTCATTACAATCGATGCAGAGAAAGCATTTAACAAAATACAATATACCTTCATTTTTAAGATGCTCAGCAAGATTGATATAGGTATAGAAGGGTCATTTCTCAACACAATAAAAGCCATATATGAAAAACCTATAACATTATACTGAATGGGGAAAAGCTAAAAAGCTTTTTTACTAAAAACTGGTACTAGACAAAGTTGCCCACTTTCTCCACTTCTTTTCAGTACAGTGTTGGAAGTCTTAGCCAATGCAATCAGAAAATAGAATAATATGAAAGGCATTCAGATAGGCAAAGAAGAGCTGAAAATAACTTGCAGATGACATGATGGTATACTTAGAAGACCCAAAGATTTCCATGAAAAAAACTTCTTGAAGTTATAAATGAATACAATAAAGTATCAGGATATAAAATCAACATCCAAAAATCTATAGTATTTCTATATATGAACAATACATTGAATAAGGTAGTTCTGAAGAAAGGAATCCCTTTTACCATAGCCATGAAATGTCTAAGATATCTAGGGATAAACCTAACTAAGGAAGTCAAAGATCTTTACAAAGAAAAACTATAAAAATCTTTAAAAAGATATTGAAAATGACACAAAAAACTGGAAGGACATCCCAAGTTCCTGGATTGGAAGCATTAATATAATCAAAATGGCAACTCTACCCAAATTATTCTATATATTTAACAAAATTCCAATCAAAATACCAGAGACATTCTTCACAGATCTAAAAACTACAATCATAGAATTTGTCTGGAATCATAAAAGACCTTGTATTGCCAAAGCAACCCCACAGAAGAAAAGTGGATTGGGCGACATCTCACTCCCTCACCCCAAAATATATTATAAGCTGTGATAATTAAAATGGTATTGGAAAAAAAAACAGACAGGTGGACCAATGGAAAATAATAAAGACCCCAGAAATAAACTGCAAAACTTATACCAAACTTATTTTTGACAAAGGATATCAGTCTATCCAGTGGGAAATGAGGCCGGAAAACTGAGTATCCACCTGCAAAAAGATGAAACTGAATTGCCATATTTCACCATTAACAAAGTTGAACTCAAAATGGATCAAAGATCTGAATCTAAGACCTCCAACTATAAAATTACTGGTGGAAAACACTGGGGAAACTCTGGGAGACATTGGGGTAGGCAAAGACTTCTTAAATAAGACTCTCAAAGCTTGGGCAATAATCTTGAAAACAGACAAGTGGGACTATATCAGATTAAGAAATTTCTGCACATCAAAGGACTCAGTAATTAGTGTGAATCGTCAACCCTCAGAGGGGAGGATATTTTTTGTAAACTATGCCTCAGATAACAGACTGATAACCAGAATACACAGGAATCTCCACCAGTTTACCAGGCCAAAAAAAAAAAAAAATGATTAACCCAATTAAAAGATGGGAAAATGAACTGAACAAAAATCTCCCTAAGGAAGACATACAAACAGCCAAAAAGCATATGTGGAGATGCTCAGCATCCCTCATCATAAGGGAGATGCAGATTAAAACCACATTGAAATATCACCTAACACCTGTTAGAATGGTGAATATTAAAATACAAAAAGTGGTAAGTATTGGCAGGGTTGTGGTGAAAGGGGAGCTCTCCTACGCTATTGGTAGGAATGTAAACTGGTTCTACCACTGTGGAAAACAATATAGAGGTTCCTTAAAGATCTACAAATATAACTACCATTTATTTGATCCAGCAATCCCACTCTGGATATCTTCCCAAGTAATAGAAGAATGCATGGGACCAGCAGTTAGAGTAATGGCTATGTCGCTGGACTCCCATGTAGTCGACCACGGTTTGAGTCCCAGACCTGGTGGCTTAAACTCATGCCGTGCGTGTGTGTAAGTGCCCAAGATCCTGAGAGGAGAATGGAGGAGAAGGGACTGCAGCGTGGCCATCCCCCATTGGGGGGTGATTTCTTGCTTTCTATCTCTCTGTCTCTCTCTGTCTGTCTGGCAAGCACACGTGCCTATAGGGAAAACTTCTCAAAAAAAAAAAAAA